CCTCCCGTACAATGAACGCCCCATAGCTATATATAATAGCCGGACACTAATTGGCCTATTTCCCTCTCGCACACACGTTATAACAAGTCTAAAAAAAACAAATATATCCCTATACGACTTACACGGCCAAACAATAAAATAAAAGGAAACTTTAACCTAATTTGGACTCTACCATCGGGATGATTATGGACTCTAATTGGATTGGTGCGCCATGCATCTTCTAGTGCATCTCGATCTTCAGGTGGACCCCAACTGACTTCTTTCAAGGAAAATAAACTCCATGCATCACACGTCCTGCTCGCTTCTGCCTGGAACTTCTCTTTGCGTGGGAAGAATAGAAATAGGAAATCTGCAACCTTCTCCTTAATGCCTTGATCATCTATTAATGAACATGAACCTTCGTGTGTATCATGCAAACCAAGCCCTCCAAAATATTTGTACGTGCATGCATTTTTGCCTGGAAACACGTAGAATTTCTTGTCCTCTCTCAGCCCTTCTAGCTGGAACCATGTAGTGTGCTTCACAGGAATAACGAGTAATTCTTGTTCATCGTTGTAACTTGTCATCAGGTATTCCGATGTATATGTAGCGTATTTTTGGACAACACCGGCTTCAGGCAAAACAACAATGACCTCGGTATTTATATCACAAGGGGTCATATCATCCTCTCCCCCTTGAATCGAAACCGTCCCCGGTTTCAAGTCAATCTCTTTTCCAATATTTTGATCTGCAGATTGATCGGCGGCGGTAAAAATTTCAGCAACTTCGGCCTTCTTCTTATCTTCTTCTTCATGCTCTTTTATCTTCTCAAGATGTTCTTTTCTCCAAGAAAGAAAACGCTCCTCACACATTGGCACGAGGTTGTACTTCTTACCTCTCTTGACGGTATATGTGTGTGTTTTGCAATCATACGCCACATTATGCTCTTTGTACCATGGCTCGCCCAATAACAAATGACACGAAATCATCGGTGCCGGAATCACGTCGCAGAAAATCTCGCAAAAATAATTTCCCAACAAAAACGGTACCTTGGTTTGGTGTGTGACAGTGATTACTTCACAACCCCAACGGAACAAGTATGGTTGTGCTCGGGGTGTCATCGTGAGATCTAGCTTCTCCACCATCTCGATGCTTGCAGCGTTGATCAAACTCATGTGATCAATTGTCATGGCACATGATTTCTCCTGTACCACAACACGAGTATGAAAAAGACCATCCCATCGACCTTCCTCCTCCAGTTGAAATCCATAGCTTAGCTTCCATGATAATCCAGTCATCTCCTCCGCAGTGTCGTGAACAACCTTAGCTCTGAATACCACCTGATAAAAACCGAACCTCGATGGCGAGATCCGATCTGTTGTTGCGGCCCGACCTTTCACGACACACCACCACCAGCAGCAGTAACCTCTCGCCCGCGCACGCGATGTACACGAAATAGAGGGTTTGAACCTTGCGGCTCAGCACGAGAAAACCAATCTTGATGACGGTACTCACGCACAAAACAATTTCCTCACAGAGAAATCGCAACACAGAGGTTTTCTAAAGCTTCCTCCAAAACTTAGGGATTTTTAGACAGCTTCCCCCAAAACTCGATACGGGTATTACCCTAAAAATACATCGTGTTTATTATCAAAATATAACCTCCCGTACAATGAACGCCCCATAGCTATATATAATAGCCGGACACTAATTGGCCTATTGCCCTCTCGCACACACGTTATAACAAGTCTAAAAAAACAAATATATCCCTATACGACTTACACGGCCAAACGATAAAATAAAAGGAAACTTTAACCTAATTTGGACTCTACCATCGGGATGATTATGGACTCTAATTGGATTGGTGCGCCATGCATCTTCTAGTGCATCTCGATCTTCAGGTGGACCCCAACCGACTTCTTTCAAGGAAAATAAACTCCATGCATCACACGTCCTGCTCGCTTCTGCCTGGAACTTCTCTTTGCGTGGGAAGAATAGAAATAGGAAATCTGCAACCTTCTCCTTAATGCCTTGATCATCTATTAATGAACATGAACCTTCGTGTGTATCATGCAAACCAAGCCCTCCAAAATATTTGTACGTGCATGCATTTTTGCCTGGAAACACGTAGAATTTCTTGTCCTCTCTCAACCCTTCTAGCTGGAACCATGTAGTGTGCTTCACAGGAATAACGAGTAATTCTTGTTCATCGTTGTAACTTGTCATCAGGTATTCCGATGTATATGTAGCGTATTTTTGGACAACACCGGCTTCAGGCAAAACAACAATGACCACGGTATTTATATCACAAGGGGTCATATCAGTTTTCCCCCCCTCTAATCCTGCTGGTGTTATTAGCATGCAATATGCTGATGACACCTTGCTGTTTTTAGATAATAACCTTGACCATGCCAAAAACCTCAAATGGCTTCTGTCCTGTTTTGAGCAGATTTCTGGCATGAGAATCAATTTCCACAAATGTGACATGGTCCCTATCAACATTGATAGAGACCAGGCACTAGTTTTTGCCCAAACCTTGGGTTGCAAAATAAGTACTTTCCCTATTAAGTACTTAGGGGCCCCTTTACATTTTAGTAAAATTAGGAAGGAAGATCTCCAACCCACTGTTGACAAGATTATTAAGAAAGCTGCTGGGTGGAGGGGTAGACTCCTTTCTTTTGGCAAAAGACTTATATTAGTCCAAGCCTGTCTAGCCAGTATCCCATCCTACCTCATGGGTTTTATGAAATTTCCCAAGTGGGCCATTAAGCTTATCAATTCCCAACTAGCTCATTGCTTCTGGGATGATTATGAGGGTCATCACAAATACCACCTGACTGCCTGGAATTCTATTACCATGAGAAAGGAGTTTGGGGGTTTTGGGATTACTGACATTGGGGACATGAATCTGGCCTTATTAGCTTCTTGGGTTGGTAGGTACTATAACTCCGAGGGTAAAATCTGGAAGAATATAATTGACTCCAAGTACAAACCTCAGAGCAATATTTTTGCTTGTTCTAGTGCTGGAGCATCCCCTTTTTGGAAAGGGGTGCTCTGGGCAGCTCAGGCTGCCAAAGTTGGCTTCTCTTGGAAGATTGGCAATGGCAATAGGATTAGATTCTGGGAGGACCATTGGTTTGGTAATGCCACTCTGGCTACCCAGTATTGGGACCTGTATGTCCTTAATAATGAGCATGATGCCACCATTGATAAGATCTGGGACGGCAGTAACCTTAAGCTCACATTCCAGAGATGTTTCACCCAGGAGCTTATGTCCCTGTGGTTCGAGTTATTGGAAATTGCCAGTTCTATCCAACTCACTGTAGAAGAGGACTCCCCTATTTGGAATATGAACTCCAAAGGGGTTTACTCTGTCAAATCCTTTTATAAGTTTGTCAATTTCAGAGGGGTGTTGCCTATTAGCTCGCCTGCCATTTGGAAGATCAAAATTCCACCTAGAATTCAAATCTTTCTATGGCTCTTAACTCACAACAAGCTGTTGACCAGGGATAACTTGGCCAAAAGGCAGGATGTAGGTGATTCTACTTGTGTGTTTTGCTCTGAACAAGAAACTGTTTCTCATTTGTTCAGTACCTGTGTTGTTGCTGCTGAATTCTGGAAAGCCATTTGTGTCCTAACTGGGATTAATGAAGACATTAATATAATGTCCATCTCCCAGTACTGGATTAGAGGAGATAGATTTGCTGTGACTAATATTGTCCATGCAGCTGGACTGTGGGCTATCTGGAAAACTCGCAATGACATGGTTTTCAACAATGTTTGTTGGTCTGGCTTGCAGGTTATCTGGCGAAAAACTGCATCAAATCTATCTTCTTGGGAGTGCCTGTCCTCAGGTTGTGCCAAGGACAAAGTGACGTGGGCGGCGAAAGAACTGGAGGTGAAAGCGAGAAGCCCACCTCTGCTACTGTGGCCAGATCCTGGCTGAGGCGTGGAGATACCTTTTGAAGCCCTTCTCTCTGAAGCACCTGCAGTTTATAGCAGCTCCCTGCGCATGTTATGCTTGATGTTCGCTTGCTGCTGCCTAGGCTAGGGCGTCTGTTCCAAAATATTTTACTTATATCTGCAAAATTCTAGTTTCTGTAGCTCTATATGCTGCCACTGCGGCTGTTCACCTGCTGTCCGCCGTGTGCCTATCTTGTAATAGACTTACACTGGATGTTGTTTCGTTTCTGGAATGGAATGGAACAGGGGCGCAGCCCTTTCCCTCTAAAAAAAAGTCTTCAAATTCAAATTTCAAATTTCATCAGAAGTCGTATTTTTACATTTCAAAAAATTCTGAAAAAAATTACAGAAGGCACAACACACATGTGTGTAAATTTTCAGAGCAAAATACGTTGAAATGAAGGTTGTGCAAAAAAAATCTAGGACTTTTTAACACACGATATTTATCCTTTCGGGCCATGAATTTATCTTTTGTGTATACATCACATTTCAAGGTATTTCATCATAAAAATTTACACACATACACATAACATTCTTGTTTACTTGCACAAATTTTTTTCAGATTTTTTAAACCAAAAAGTTTGAATTTTGATTTTTTTCAAAAATTTCAAGCTCTAGTGAGCTCGGTCACCAAACGTCCGTCCTCATATAGGTGTAGCATTACCCGTACGATATCAAGATCTCACAAGCTTTTACCTACTCGCCAGAACGAAGAGAAAAAAAAAACAAGTAAATATACTACGAGCCAACATAATTTTCTATTCACTTCTTTAGATGGTTACCCACTTTCAACTAACAGCACACCTCATGCAAACCGGAAATTATCTTGCCAGGCCATGATCATCGTGTAACAGTTCAGTTCTACGATTAACTAGGTTACACTAAGTTACAGACGACAGATGAACGTTCCTTTTTTTCACCATAAATTTCACAAAAACTTGTTTACTGTCCTCTACATACATGTATGGAAATTTCTTTATCAATCTACTGAAGCCAACAGATACGATGTTTCACCAAGTTACAAACACCATGATCATATGGCACACCCTGATCAGATTCTATTTCTCAACCTCCTCTATTGCTATGTCAACTTTGCCGGGCGTTTTGGGAGGATACAGCTCCCATAACGCAACCGTGGTATCCGCCGAGCATGAGGCCAGCAATTTGCAGTCATGTGAGAAAGTCACCGCAGCACACTGCCAGCAAAAAGAAGAAGCATGTAGGTTAAACTACATGTCGAGCGGAAATTGACCAAGTTCTACGTAAGGAGAAAACTGAGCCGATTATCAATCTCATGACCCATATTCCAATTGAAGTAAACAGGAGAACTGAAAAGTATATTGTCGAATTATGGGACTAACCAAGGGAGGATAGATGCAAAAAGAAAATGTGGAGAGCAACTAGATGAAAGAAGCTGCATACCGTAGCGCTGTGGTACTTTAGAATCGCTAGAGCATTTCCTTTATTGTAGTTATACACTCGAATCCTGCAAATGATGCAAAACACCTGAAAGATTACACAAATGCAACATTTGCAAACTCAGGTAAACAAATAGAAGCATGCTTCTCAGGTGGACATCACCTACTCCTTGTCCAACTTTGCTTAACTCTTCTGCGCACATAATGCTACCTATTTTCTGTTCTCCACCTATCCTACTGTCATCTTTTCTCTGTCTTGCACTTCTGCTCTATTTTTCTTAGCTGTTTTGCCTTATCAGAGGGCACACAACTATCTGACCTCTGAAAACCTAATCAGCCAGCACTAAATCAGTTTGGTAATCAGCGATGACTAATCAAACGCAGCGGAGCTAGTATCATCCTGGTGATACTTCTGATACTATGATATCAGGGTGATACTAGCTTCATGGGTGATACTACAATATCAGGGTGAAACTAGCTTCGTGGGTGATGCTACGATATCAGGGTGAAACTAGCTTTGTGGGTGATATTATGATATCAGCTTCATGGGTGATACTTCGATTTCCAGGTAGAATCAGGCGGGAGCACTCCAAATCCACAGCGTCGACAGATCTGCCATGGAATACAGGCAGGTAAAAGAAAAGATAGGCTGGTCCATGTCATAGCCATGGAGGTAGGCCTAGGCGTAGTATGCGGATAAGGGTGCTGCATTCCCACACCCGCATCCACTCTACCCGATGGATACAGACTCTTCCCGTTTGAGAGTTGACCTTGCGTCCAAAAATCTGCATGAATCGGTCAAGATCAAGAACACACAGTAGTAGAAGAAGAGAGCACAAGAACACAGCTGGTTCCTCCCAACCTCAACTCGGCCTCTTCACAGCCACCAGCACCAACGTGCCTGTGGATCCAGAGTCCCTCAACTACATAACGTGCTATAACCTAGGATATTCGGTATGTAACCCCCTAATATAAACCTATGTAACCCTGTTAGTGTATCAAGCGTATTTTAGTTCTAGATACATCCATTTTTATCCATTTCTCCGACAAGTATTTCCAGACGGAGGGAGTATTTGGTAATGCCAATTGACGGTAAGTCTACAAAATTGGATACCAATTGGTTTTTGCCCGTCTCTAAAATGGTTGCAACTTTTGGTATTTTTTGGTTTTGTCAAATGTTGGCTTGCCAAATACTGGAAGTGCCAAATGTTGGCATCAAACCAACATTTGGCCTGTCAAATGCCTCTACGTAAATCATTATGGAAACTAAATAACCCATGGCCTGTCATCGCTGGAGAGTGGCAGGAGAGAAATTTACAACTAAGACCCATTTCGGCCGATGTAAGATTCATCGATGAATCTTATAAACATATATACGAATCTTACGGTGGCTTTCATTTATCTTCAAGGATCTCGTGATATATGATTTGACCATGGTAGCACATATTTCACCAAGTCATTCTCTGACATCGTAACCAAATTTCATGTATTTCTTTGTAAGTTCAATAATTTATTGTATCTCATACTCCCTCCGTTCGGAATTACTTGTCGTGAAAATGGATGTATCTAGACATATTTTAGTTCTAGATACATCCATTTCCAAGACAAGTAATTCCGAACGGAGGGAGTACATGTCTTTCTACTTTGCGGCATGGCTTGCACGTGTAATGTGGTATCACCCAGGCTTTTAGTATCACAAGCAAAACGTAGTATCATCCGGAAATCATAATATCACCCTGATATCAATTTTTTTTTGATAAACATCACCCTGATATCATATAGTATCACCCACAAAGCTAGTATCACCAGGATGTAAAAATTACGCTTAGCCTCTGGCTCCATCCCGTTCCTCTCAAAGCTTGCCCGCTCCCCGTGGCGGTGGCCAGATAGGAGTTGTGATCTCCTAGTCCACCATGGAAATCATGAGACATCCATTTGATTAATTTACTTTAGATTGCATTCAAATATATTTAGTCTACCAATAAAAGTACTATATTCAAATCAGATGCAGTTATTGACTCAGGCAATCTGATCTACCAAGCCACTAAAAAGGTTATATTAGCATCCTTGGTCAGAGGTAAAAGCTAAGAATGGGGAAACAAACCTGTGATCCCAACCAGCAGTTGCTGCAATCTTGTTGTCTGGCCGAATCGCTGTACCCGCTACACCGGGTCTCTCAATTTCTATTTCATTCCTGAGAGAAAACGTGCCCTGTAATCAAGACAGCTACATTTCAGTTATGAATTTCAAAAGTATTGATTCCTAAATTGAAATTAAGCACTCAAGTGCAGGTGATGCTTGTGATGAAACGGATGCAAAAATCACACAAGTAGTTGACATGTCAAGCTATTGAGTCTGAATTAATATGAAGCAGATCATAAAGAGATGCTCGATTTCCCTAGTGTGTAAACTAGTTAGCACTACATGTATGAATTATCACATGGACATATTGCTCCAAATCCGGGCTGATATCCAAGTATGAAAAAACTGACATCTCAACACAGCTGTCAATTTGGATACGCAAGCACTCATCAACCTTCTGAAAAGAGGATATAATACATAACACCGCACCATCAATTTTTACATAGACTTGATGAACGCAAAGTCCTTAACTGATAGTGGCTTGCCCACTACTACTTCCCACAGTAAGCACATCTTAGTTCTTACATGTCTCAAGTGTTATTACTAATTGTTAGAACTTAGAAGCACTTTCTGGATGTATGATTGTGTCAGGATATACTTGAGAATATTAATAAAACTGTACTGAGAGTGGCATAACGTAGAACTCAAGGTGAAAACTCGGGTTTGTAGGGTACTACTCACAGCATGCATTTTCATGAAAAGGAGCTTATATAGCAGGAACAGAACATAGAATGATTGATGTCACACCTTCTGATGATCAAGGGCAAACATGGCTATTTTATTATCAGCACCTCCAGAGATCCCACCGGTGCATAAACCGTCAATAGCAATGGATAAAGCTGCACGCCTGCATCTTATTAGATCATACGTTGTATCATTCCATCAAAGGAAGATAAAGATAACTACTCTTGAAAAATGGCAGGTTACACAATTGAGTTAAAACTGGGTGTAGCAAGGGACCTGATTCCGAATGATACTTCACTGAAGATAAGGGTGACCCAGGCTTTCGTACATCCCACCAAAGAGTGCTTCCATCTTCATAACTGGTGGCCGTAAAAGCGATGTTTGTTAATAAAATGAACACACACATTTTTCAATCTTGACCCTAGAATTGGTATTTTAACCTTGAACTGTTGAATCAGTTTAATTCACCCCCTTTGGCCCTATCCCGTTGAAAACTTATGAACTTTTTAAAAGGTCGGAAATAGTCAAAACTCGATATGAAAAAGAGGATTCAATACTCCACAGATGACATGTAGCTAAACTTTTTAATAGTCAATATGAAATCCTCAATTTCCTATAAAGTTTTTTCCTGATAGACTGAAAATGAATCAATAGTCAATCTGACAAAAAAGCTATTCGCCAAATTTCCTAAAGAGTTCTGGAGTCCACCCAAAAAAGTGATTTTATTATTAAAAAAATCCTGATTTCTATATTTTTTTATTAAGTGTAGAAGTGATGACACGTGTCATCTCTGTCAGCACGAAACATTTTGGGATAGGGCCAAGGGGTAAAATAAACCGATTCAAGAGTTCAAAGTTAGAAACAACTGGTTTCAGAGTTCAAGGTTGAATGCCAGCGCTGAACGCAAGCAAGGAAATAGGGTAAAAAAGAAAGGACTGAGAAAATCTTTTTCATTCTGAAAAATGTTACCGACATCACTTTAACCCAGAAACATACTATGGGATTGTTTATCATATAAAGTACTAGAGATCAATTTACCATATTTAGGTACCAACTATTGAAGATGAGATCATATTGAGATATCACTACAGTCATAATGTGACTAGCCAAAAACTCATGCCATAACACTAAATTCTTGAACCCTTGAAACATACTCACTTCAATTGATGGATTTATTTTGTAAAGATAAAGTTGCTTTGTTGTTCCACACAACACAATCAATTCAATTGTGTAAGTGTCATACACTCATACTTGTAATCTTTACCTGTGAGCTAATCAAATGAATATGCATCAACAATATCATTTGACTATGTGCTGCACATACCCATGGAATACACACAACAATGGTCATGCACATTGTGAAGCAGGAACAAATCTGTATGCTGCATATAGTCATTTGTCCACTTCACAAAACATCATCATTACACTTGCAACAAGAATTTGATCAAGTGTAACTTCTGCCATAGGGGCGAGATGAATTATCTTACATCATTCTCTCAAATTTGTGAGTGGAAAGATGATTCATGTGCAATATGACCAAGCTAAAGCATCCAAATACCGTTTCCATGCTACATGATAGTTACTATCCAGATAAAACATTAGATATGTTCAGCTTATGCTATTTTTTAATTATGCATGATCATTGCATGACACTTAGAGCCAAGACTCCCAAACAAAGGACAGAGGCCAGAGGATAAAAAGAGAGCATGGGTCCTGGACACTGATAGAAGGACCAGATTCACATTTAAACCATTTGCCAGAGAGCGAGCTCAGTTGTTTTTTAGCTGAAAATAGCTTAATAGTTTTTGTTCGGGTACTACACTAGGCCATGGCACATGATAAATATGTTGAAATATTAGATACAAACATATTGGGCTTGTAAAATGTTGATCTGGGTACCTTGATAAAATATTAACGTAGCCTCCAGATGCACACGGGATGAAAGCTTGCACGGCCATGCATAGACCTACGGACAACAGAATTACAGTTTTCAAGGATTACTAACTAGCATAAATAGTGAAGACAAACAAATGGCACCGAACAATAAAAACGGAGTTTTATGATTGTCCTGCAGATGCAGATTATTATTCTAATTCAATATAGTTGTAAACAAATTCACGCATTATACCTTGTAATAACAAGAAAACTACAACACCACAGGAAACAGAAATAAACAAGATGCCAGAGAGTTTCATGCCATGGAAGAAGGTTTGATCCTACATCACATATATACATCCTTGCTGCTGGATGGTGAAAGAGGTCAGTCAAATTGCAAGGCGTACATATCTTGGATATGTGTTTATAACTTCCTTCAACAAAAACCGAACAATGAATCAACGGACCATGTAGGTGGAGCTGCTGGATGGTCATACAGGCTTATATTAAGTCAATAAAGCCCAGACGAACAATTCTCAAACCCAACAATTCTGGATTTCTGGTAGACAAAAAATTAAAACAACAAAAATGGTGGAGGCTACTCTGATATCAAGTCTAAATACTTCATGGTTCTACTACGCGAGAAGTTACCACCGGATACACATACTACGTACAACCCAACTTGGTATTTTGTTGAACAACAACAAAAAAACTATAGCTGGAGTGCTGAAGAGTGAGGACAAACCTTTTTGCTTGGTAGGGTGACCTGTCATATTAGCACTGCATCTTTTGGGCAAACACATTATCTTCGTTGAATTTTTAATGTCCCAAAGTTCAACCTATAGATTTCGTTATGAAGTTACAACAAGAAAGCAGTGAGAACAATAGAAGTAACAACATGAACACAAAGCTCAGCCAGGCTTGCTTAATTGCATTATATTAAGTCAATAATTTATTTATAGATCATTAAGTTAGAAAAAAGATAGCATAGTTTGAAACTAACCTCAAACGATTCTTGACCAGCAATTGTCAATATATTTTGTCCATCCAAGGAACTGCCTAGCAATACATAAGAAAGTCAGCAATGCAGAAATAGGTTCCTTTTCTAAATAAAAAGTTATCAGACACCATGTTACAGTATGGTCTTCTTCTAAATGATGTCAGATTTGGAAATCAACAAAGTGTTATATTATGCCATTTAATTTGCAGTCTTTCCTCGACATAAATAAACGATAATGCTATGTATTTTTCCATTATCGAAAAGTTTACACTTCCATAATAAGTCAATAGTTAGTAAATTCATGTAGGATTCAGAGGTTATCACTGCTTTTAAAATGTGAAGGGATTCAGAAATGGTCGCACATTACCTTGTTCATATTCTTGTGTTCCTTCTGCAGGATTTAAACCATCTGATCCAGTATTATCTACAATAGGTACTCTTTGTGGCTCAGTGCCACTATTTGAGCGACTCAAGTTGGTTTGTGTGCCATGTGCAGAACATGGAACCTTAACCAGTGACATCTTACAGAAATGGTATGTACTTGTTTTAATTGTAAATATGGGCCTCCTGCAAGGGCACAAATAATGGATTTATAAATTCCACAGAAACGCATAGAACAAGGATGGGCCACAAAGCCTGCTAAAAAGTATGTATCCTTCCAGATTTCCACATGAACACTGTACATATTATCTTATCTCCTAAAATGCTTCACAAGTGTCCACATGTCTAGGCCAATCATAGTTAAGTCAAGATATATTTATAGGAAAAGAGAACTCTTGGTTCTAAAGGTCACCTGGTTAGAAGTTCTTCAAAAGGTTGCCACTACAGTCTACGGATGAGGGCCATTGTTATACATTTGGACTTAAAAGTATCATATTACAACAACATAACATCCGTCAAAAAAGGGTAAAGCACCATAAGGGTTGTGCCTTCCCTACAAGCTATAGTCAGGACGAAATACTGTCAGGTAACATGAATAACTTAATTCTTATGACATGGTACTCAGAACGATATCCAGATTTTGCTCACTGCTAACTGCTATCATGGGTGCTTGAACTGAGTTTGACCATAAAATTGATAGCATCACTGATAATCTGACCTTGGCAGAATAACACGATATTGTAATCGTAAAAACTTCTTTTCAGTTCTCCATGGGATGTGTGATTTGAAATATTATGTGCATGTGTGTTTCCTTGCATTTAAGTAAGCATGAGCCTATTCCTGGGTCCTGACTAATCATGCACCAGCTTATGTTTGATGTTAAGTTGTAGCATGTGAAGAAAAATCATACCTTGAGAGCCCAGCTTCTTCAATCGCCCAGCCTTTGCACAAACCATCCCTGCCCTGGCTGTGTGAAAATGGATAGCACATATATTTACTAAAATTCAACAAAAATCATTTCAGTGGAAAAAAGCATGCTCAAAATAAGCCTCAAAGGAAATCTCTACCATACACATTCCACGACACAATAATGTTGTAGAAGTTAAAAGGCACTTGTAATTTCCCCAAAGTCCTGTTCAGCAACTGTAATTCAGTACTGGAATGCTACACCGATTCAGCAACAGTGTTCCAAATACAGCTGCTGGCATGGTCATACTTATACTAGTACTAGTTATGGACACGGGGAATTCTTGTCTAGTAACCAGCATCCTAGGCTAAGCTGAGTTTCAGAAATACAGTAACCAGCATCCCTGGCAGACTTCACCCCAATTCACTCACCTAATGACCGCGTTCCCAAGCCCGGAGCCAGAGGCGACGGAATACACCCCAGCCGCGCCACCGTGAGCCCTGCAGAAGGAAGGACACGCCATCACTGAACCTCCCGAAACCAAACCACACCCGTCCCCGCAGTCTGCAGAAGCGCACGCGGGCTTACCAGATGGAGGAGACGGTGCGGTGGCTCGCCGTGTCCCAGATCCTGAGCTCCCCGTCGGCCGCGCTGGTGGAGCGAAACCAGAGACCACGCGTCAGCGCGCAGCAGAGTCGCGTTCAGCAGGGTTCATCGTAGGCGGCTGATGCCGTGGGGAGAACAGAGAGGGGTTCAGGAGGGAGTACCCGGAGAAGAGGAGCGGGAGTGCGGGGTGGAAGCACGCGTCGCTGACGGCGGCGCGGTGGCCCCGCAGCACCGCCACGGGGTCCGGCGACGGGCGGCGGCGCGGCCTCTCCCGGTCGCTGCTGGCCATGTCGCGCGGCGAACGAAGTGCGAGACAGGCAGAAGGCAAGGCTGTTTCTGTCCAGCGCTCGACGCCTCAGCCCAAATGCCCACTTAGCCCACTCAAGAGGGCCGGCCCACCACGAACCGGCGCAGCGGAGCCCAGGCCACCGAACGCCACGCCACGCCACGTCACCGATCCGTGGCTCTCGCGCTCTCGGCCAGCCAGCGGCGAGCACGCGGATCGTGTGCTTTCTCGGGGCGGATCCGAGCCGTCGACCGGATCGGCATCCCGAGGCCTTTTCCCAAACGGTAACTGGGTCCACGCGTCCGCCCACCTGCTCCGCCTACAAGTACCCCCGCCTACTGTCCCCCACTTTACTATTCGCCTTTCCGCATCCAGTTAAGTCGCCTTTCGATTCGAACCTCCCCGAAATCCGCAGCAGTCGACAGGAGGCCAAAGGCGCCGCCATGGCCCGTACGAAGCAGACCGCCCGCAAGTCCACCGGCGGCAAGGCGCCCCGCAAGCAGCTCGCCACCAAGGTCCGTCCCGCCGCCCCCTCTTCTCTTTCGATTTCGATCTGTTCATTCGTCCTTGTTGATTCGAAGATTTGTTGGCTGACGTTTTGGAGTTTGAATCGTCGTTGTGTTTTCATCAGGCGGCGAGGAAGTCTGCGCCGACGACCGGCGGAGTGAAGAAGCCCCACCGCTACAGGCCCGGGACCGTGGCGCTCCGGGAGATCCGCAAGTACCAGAAGAGCACGGAGCTGCTGATCCGCAAGCTGCCTTTCCAGCGCCTGGTCCGCGAGATCGCGCAGGACTTCAAGACGGACCTCAGGTTCCAGAGCCACGCCGTGCTGGCCCTCCAGGAGGCGGCCGAGGCGTACCTGGTGGGGCTGTTCGAGGACACCAACCTGTGCGCCATCCACGCCAAGCGCGTCACCATCATGCCCAAGGACATCCAGCTCGCCCGCCGCATCCGTGGCGAGAGGGCCTAAGCTGCGCCCTCCGCCGACGCCGTTAGTGAGTTGGAATGAGTTGATTCTGGTTGTAGTTTGTTCCTAATTGCCGTGCTAGGTCTCTCTGCTTTTGTGTAGAAGAAATATGGTTGTTGGTACAAGCAAGACGAACTTGTTATGTGATGATGTTACTTTTGGTTTGCGATGAAGCAAACGTATGTCGAAGACCTCAGAACTGCTGTTGTTGTTAGCAACGACTCAGCTGTTGTCGTGTCCTTGATCCCATCGTGGTGTTCTGTCTTGATTCCTGCGTGGTTTTGATTTGGGTTGTGCTGTCGATGGTTGCCGTGCGGTCTACTCGTTCTGTCGTCGGCGGCGATGTGGATGCAACCGTCTGTCCACGGCGAGGTCGGACACGTTTGTGATGCTTGTGGACGGTTTTTTTTTCTGGTCGACCTACCGACTCACGGAATCGTGGTCGCTACAACGGAGTTTGAATATTTCCTTGCTACTGATAAAATTTGAATATCGTTTCGTGGTCGCTGGTGAGCTGTCCCTACCATGGAGTATGTTGAGAAGATTGTGGCGCGTGCAACACGGTATGACCAACTTCGTGCGAAGGTGTGCAAAATCCCATTAAGGGGGCATGTACTTATCTTACGTCTTGCATGTAATTTAGATATGACAAAAGAGTCTACAATGGTTCATCTCATTCATAAAAATGTGGTGAGAAATATTGTGTTAAGAGATCATCTCTTGTTTTCTCTTAAATAAGAGAAGACAAACCTTTTTTTATGAGTTCTCTCTCCTCCACCTCATCATTTATCCTATGTGGCATTTCTAAGCTAGCATCATTGTACATGCCCTGAGGCTGTGCTGTTGGCAGCAGGAGAAGTTATGCTGTGCTGTTGGCAGCTGGAGAAGTTATGCCGTGTCACTTTCAAAATGGCAGCTGGAGAAGTTATGCCGTGTCACTTTCAAAATGGCTCCACTGTTATCTCTTTTCGTCTTGTCCAAAATATACATGTTGGCTTGTCGAAATCGTGTATAATACCTGACTCATGGATAATTAGTTTTGATACTTTAGTATAAAGAGTCATGCACGTAGATTTTATCTTTCAGAAAATGATTAGATCTATTCTGGAGCCGCCAACGTGCCACACGAAGAATTGTCTTTAGAAAGTATTTTTCACAAATTTATTATTGTACATACTAATGAAAGTACTTTTCACAAATTTATTATTGTACATACTAATGATCAAATGCAAGTCAAGAACTGGATTGAGTAGAGAATTTTCTCTACTCAATCCAGAGAACTGGATTGAGTAGAGAATTTTCTCTGGATTGAGTAGAGAAAATTCTCTACTCAATCCAGTTCTTGACTTGCATTTTGATCATTTGTATGTACAATATTATTAGGGTTGAGTATCAACATTTGGGTTGATATAAAAAATCAATATTATTAGGTGCGTCATGAGTTTAATTTTTTAATTATATAACTTCAGTTTTTTTTCACGGGTGATAACTTCAGTTTTTTTCGTGGGTGATAACTTCAGTTTTTTATATGTAGATATTATATATATAACTATATGAGTTTGATTTCAGACAGTTTTTATATCCGAAGTAAAAAAGAAGCAAAGGGAGTAATAATCTAGGGTGCAAGTTGATATAGAACTCGATGCATTTGAGACTATTCACATTCAAATTTGTAGCAAATATTTTTGAGGTGTCGTATATAACATGGATGCATGTTGTAAAGTAAATCGTTTTCTTAATATCTTGTATTTTAGCAGAAGATTTGGAGATACTACTAAACTTTTACCTAGTGTGATAAAGAAATGAAAGAACCAAAAACGACCACTCTTCATTTGATCATAGTGGGTTTCCCTCACAAAAATAATTTGGTTGTAGTTGGTGAATGCTCGCCTCCTAATTTTTTTAACAATAACGCAGAAGCTCATACATACGCACGTACACTCACCCTCTATAACGCATGCACACTTCCATATGAGCACCTCTAGAAACTGAGTCGGCACTTTATCTTGAGATTGACGAAGTCGCCACAGACGCATGCGTAGTCGACGGGAACATCTCCTCCCACGGTACGCACATTGCTGGAAGGTCTGAATAAATCCAGAAAAATGTGAGCACTAGTGTCAAGCCTAGGACTTTGAACTCTGGTAGGCTAAGGATACCACTGTTCTCCTAAGCATCTAAATCATTGACCAGTCAAAATCGTGAACCGGATTCAGAATTGAACACCTTAATTGAATGTGAGAACTCCTTAAGAAAGTGAACCGGATTCAGAATTGAACACCTTAATTGAATGTGAGAACTCCTTAAGAAATTATTGACCCATCAGTGTTGCATGATGGCATTAATTTTCCTTCAGTGATGAGAGCGTGCATGAGACTGATACATTTTTATAAGATAGTTGTTGCCGATTGATTTGAGAAATCATTGAGCAGTAAAAAAATCATGAATCGAAGTTAAAATTGAACACCTAAGTTGAATGAGAGAGTTTCTTCAAAAAACAGTTGACCAAGTAAAAATAATCAGGTGGTGAGAAGGGTGAGAGACTGATGTATTTCTGTAAGAATGCAAATTAACCCACAGATGTGCATGGAAGTTTCTTGCGGTGGTGACCACAAGTATTATATTGGTGCTACAGTGTTGTATGTTAGCATTTTTTTTGTCAAGGGATGAGAGGCTGTGAAACTGATGTATTTTTGTATGCTAGTTGCTACAGATTGATTTGAGAAATCATTGATCAGTCGAAACGGTGAACCAAATTTAGAATTGAACCCCTCACTACCTCACTTGAATGAGAGAGCTCCTTAAAAAATTGTTAACCAACTCAAAAATTAGAACTCAATCCCGAATCATATTGGTGTTACAGTGTTGCATGTGGCCATTATCTTTTTCAGATGCTGAAGAGACTGATATATTTTTTATAAACCAGTTGCTACCGATTGAGTTGAGAAATCATTGACCAGTTGAAATCATGAATCGTATTTAAAATTGAACACCACACTTCAACAAGAGAGCTCATTGAAAAAATGTTGACTAAATAAAAATTGGGAATCCAAATCAAAACAGTTGAATTAGAGGCCTTTACCCATAGGGAGCTTAGTTATAGTAGATAGGAGAATTGTGCGTCAACGTTTAATTTCAATACTTCTTTTGATTCAAATTTAGTACTTCAACCCAATTTTTGCCAACGTTTTCATGCACTTGCACTTCAAATTGAACTATATCCATTAATTGTCTAGAAACAGAGAAGAAAATAAAAAAATAAAAAATAAAAAATGAAGAAAATAAAACAAAAGAGAGATAAAGAAAGAAAGAAAATGCTGAGTGCTTTGTAAGCATAACCCACCGCATGCCACCGCGTGCGCAGCTTGTGAGCATAACTGGAGTTGTCTTGCGTAGAATGCATGTCTCTAGCATGATCTTGACATCAACCCCAATAGTATGCAGTATAAATGATCTACCCAATCTACCATCGTACTAGTAATAATGTATAATCTCACTATTTAAGGTACCCTGATTCGGACATTTATATCGGCCAACTGATAAGAACATGCATTGCCCCTTATGGTTGGTGACATGCTCCTTCAACTCCCACTTTCACTGAACTACCTTTAAAAATGCGCCCATTGCCCTGCCCTTGCCCCCTCTCCACTCAAGAGACACATACTCACCCTGAAGGCTATTATAGTGGCTAGGATTACTCAAAATCATTTATCATCCATTGACCGGTCGTTGTAGGCTGAGAACAATTCGACACCTCGTTGTTTTCTTCGAGTGATTCTATTGTTTGCTATAGTGTGAAGTGGTTTCACTTAGTTTTCTCATGTTGCTACAAAGGCTTACAGTTAGTACACAAGAAATGTGTTGTGACAGTGTAAACTTGTTGGATTAGCTAAAATTAGAGTTCAGATCAAACTGGGAGTTGGAGGCATCTAGAAAGTTTTATCAAGATTACCAAAATGACCTTGTGATAAAAAATATTTTAAAAGCTTCACTTGATTGCTCTTATTAATTGAGAAACATTTTTAAACCCATCCATATATTAATTAATAAACTTTAATACAATCGTTCATTACAGAATCCGTCTCGCAGGACGGTGCACTCCGCTAAAGTTAACCCATCCAATCTAGGATCAAGACGAAATTTAGCAATCTCATGGGCCACTTTGGTCTTGTCCCTACTAATCCTGCCATATCACACTATGGAATAAGTTGAACCACACCTAAGGCTTCCCTCTTTAAATCCACAAGAGCTGAGTTATCCAAAGCATTATTAGACAAATAAAATTTCATAAACAAACGATTAGTCTCCAAAATGGCGGGCTTATGGTGGAACTGCAATATACAATCCCACTAAACAAGATCGCTGTTCTATTTCCTCGACATTTAACCACAAGTATTATATTGGTGCTATAGTGTTGTATGCTGGCAATTTTTTCGTCAGGTGATGAGAGGTTGCAAGACCGGTGTATTTTTGTAAGCTGGTTGTTACAGATTGATTTGAGAAATCATTGATGAGTCAAAATTGTGAATGAAATTTAGAATTGAACACCTCACTTGAATAAGAGAGCTCCTTGAAAAATTGTTGACCGAGTCAAAAATTGGAACTCAATTCTGAATCATATTGGTGTTACGGTGTTGCATGTGGCCATTATTTTTTTTCAAATGATGAAAGCGTGCACGAGACTAATATATTTTTATAAGCCAGTTGCTACCGATTGAGTTGAGAAAGCATTGACCGGTTGAAATCATGAATCAAATTTAAAATTAAACACCTCACTTCAACAAAAGAGCTCATTGAAAAATGTTAACTAAGCAAAAATTGGGAATCCAAATCAAAATTGCCCTCGATTGAATTAGGCCTTCACCCACATGGAGCTTAGTTATAGTAGATAGGAGAATGGTACATTAACGTTTAATTTCAATGCTTCTTTTGATTCAAATTTAGTACTTCAACTCATTTTTGCCAACGTTTTCATGCACTTAGGGCCCGTTCGGAAGTTCTCCACGAGCCAGCTTCTCCGTCTCCGCGTGGGAGCCAGCCCGAACGCATCAGCTTCTGGAAGCCTGCTTCGCGGAGACCCGGCCCGCCGCAGTGTAATTTCGTGGAGCAGCTGAAGTGTAGCTTCTAAAAAAGAGGAAGGTGGAGTTGCTCTAATTTACACGAATGCCACCGCCAAGTCAATCCTGTACCGGTTCGCCCTTCCCCTTCCCCTCGTCACCCAGTTTCTCTTGTTCCCTCGTCCCCTTTCTACAGACTGTAACCCTATGAGGGCGCCGCCACACCGCCGCCGGCCGGCCGCCGGCCTGCCGCCACCCGTACAACGAGGCGCCGGTGCTCCGCCGCATCCCTGGAGGTTTCCCATCCCATACCCACTGCAGTCGCCGCCCAATCTTGGACGCCCGAGCCTGCTTCAACTCCCTGCGTTGCTCGTCGCCGGTACCCAGTCAACCTGCTCCGTCAAGCTTGCTGCCGGATCCAAGCCAGAGAACCCATTTCTCCTAGCTCTCTTCACCACGCCGGCTTCCTTCCTGACTATTTTGAGTTTGTACAATGTTTGGAGCAACTCTCTGCTCCCGAACGAATCGCTGCTCCCGTTGGAAGCTGGCTACGGCTGGATTCGCGAGAAGCTGGCTATTTGGAGAAGCTGGAGAGGATCCGAACGGGCCCTTACAATTCAAATTTGAATTGAACTATATCCATTAAATGTCTAGAAAAGGAGAAGAAAAGAAAAAATATATAAAAGATAGAAAATAAAAGGAAAAATTGAAGAAAATAAAAGAAAATGAAGAAAATAAAGGAAAAGAGAGATAAAGAAAGAAAGAAAATGCCAGAGTGCTTTGTAAGAAACACCCGGCAAAGGTTGGCCTTTGCCGAGTGTTTTGTATTTGTCAAGTGTAACAAAGTAATCAAGACGATTCTAGTAGTGGCATCCATAGAAGCGCGTGAGCTTCAATTGAGATGGATTTAACAACCACCCATGGAAATGCTAATATTTTTTCGTTGCTCCCACATAACCCACTGCATGCCACGGCGTGAGCAGCTTGTGAGGATAACTGGTGGAGTTGTCTTGCGTAGAGTGCATGTCTCTAGCATGGTCTTGACATCAACCCCAATAGTATGTGGTATGAATGATCTTCCCAATCTACCATAGTACTAGTAATAATGTATAATCTCACAATTTAAACTCATGGTACACTAATTCAGACATTTGTATCGGCCAACTGATAAGAACATGCATTGCCCCTTATGGTTGGTGACTTGCTCCTTCAACTCCCACTTTAACTAAACTGCCTTTAAAATGCGCCCCATTGCCCCGCCCTCGCCCCCTCTCCACTCACGGCTAGGATTGCTCAAAATCATTATCAGTCATTGACTGGTCTCTTGTAGGTTGAGAACAATCCGACAGCTCACTGTTTTCTTCGAGTGATTCTATTGTTTGCTACAGTATGAAGTGGTTTCACTTAGTTTTCTTATGTTGCTACAAAGTCTTACAATTAGTACACAAGAAATGTGCTGTGACAGTGTAACTGGTGGGATTAGCTAAAATTAGAGTTCAGATCAAATTGGGAGTTGGAGGCATCCAGAATTTTTTATCAAGATAACCTGAATAACGTCGTGACAAAAGATATTTAAAAAAATCTTCACTTTACTGCTTTTATTAATCGAGAAACATTTTTTAAACCTATCAATCATTCATTACAAAATCCGTCTCGCAGGATAGTACACTATGCTAAAATTAACCCATCAAATCTAGGAGTAGAATCAAGATGAAGTTTAGCAATCTCATGGGCCACTTTGTACTCTCTATTAATCCATGCCATGTTGCACTGTGGAATAAGTTGAGTGACACCTAAGGCTCCCTCTTTAAATCCACGAGGGCTGACTTATCCAAAACAATATTAGACAAATAATTTTTCATAAACAAACAATTAGTCTCCAAAATGACAGGCTTATGCAGTGAAACTGCAATATACAATCCCACGAAACAAGCTCACAATTCTATTTCCTCGACATTTGAACGGACTGGAAGTAAATACCACGAAGAAATGAGCACCGATCCCTCGTGATCTCTCACCACCATGCCAACCCTAGCAAATCATCTGCCGCCATGAAGCTAGTATCCGCATATTGACTGAGAAACATGATGTTAGTTTTTTTAGGGGTGGAAACATGATTTTATTGTTATGTTAAAGCTGTAACATTCTTCTAGGAAATTCCTTTTTTTTTGAGAAAACCCGTAACTTTATTCATAAACATAACAATTAGGGGTACACTGATTTGGACCTAAGATCCAAGAAAATACAAAGTAACTCATATGACTAAGAATTATAATGAAATCTCTTGAAAACACCTTCTTCACAATATCAATCTTTGGTCGAAGAAATACTTCAAAAGCTTCGGTAAAGATACTACAATTGGACTGGAGCAATGATATTGTCACTCTTTCACCCGCACGAACATTACCAATAATGATTTTTGAAAGCGCCTTGAGCCGCCCTGCCAAAAAGATGGTAAGTCTTGATCGATGAGCGTACTTGGGCCGGGAATGATCCCTTAGAAGTGCATGCCGTCGAATCACTATATCTTTACTATGGTGTCGATGCAAGATTTCACCTCCACAAAGAATCAGACCAACAAAAAAAGCTTGACACAACAACATAAACTCATCAGATCCGAATAATCTGATCTGCGAGAACAGAAAACTCTTTAACCTCATGGCACCGCCAAAAGGATGAGAGGAAATCTATTCTCGCGAAACTAATATCTTCACTAGACGTTGACGAAGAACATAGAGGTCTTGAAGATCCGAGGTCCCCCCCCACCTCTCAGCGTGAAGATAGCAGCCGGAGGTAAGGGGACCTAAATTTCTCGGATGACAACGACGGCGGCGGCACGAGAAAACCCTAACAGATAGAAGAAGAAATACGTAGCAACACATTTTTATTAGGAAGTTAATAAAGCTGTAACATGATCGTAATATTCAATTTCGGCCTGACTATCTATCACGTAAAATAATACTAGTAGAAAGCCCATTAGTCCCCTGCCCCGGGTTCAGAAGTAGAAAGCCCATTAGCCGCTATTGCAAGGAGTCAGCAGCGAAGTCGCGCCCAAGAGGAAGTAGTAGAGTTGCTCAAAAAAAAAAAGAGAGAGGAAGTAGTAGCACCCGCACGGTTGCTATAAAAAAAAGTAGTACCCGCACCTCGCCTCGGCGCTCGCCGGAAAACCGTGTTTCAATCCGTCCGTGTCGGCGGAGGAAGGAGATCACGGAGGGTGGAGGAGAAGGTCGGTTCCTCCAATCCCTCCTTTCTTCGCCTTCTCCGTCCATGAATCTGTCCTTGCGGGTCGATCTCGCGGCGGCCATGGAGCCGGATCTGGACATGGCGGCCATGAGAAAGAAGCTAGAGGATGCGGTGCTCGGCACCTGGCTGTGGGACAAGGAGCTGGACTCCATCGTGCAAGAACAGAAAGAGCGAGACGACGAAGGCGATTACGAGTACTACGAACCAGACGAACCGCACGAATCAGACCAAGAAGAAGAGGAGCTCCACTATGGTGGTTCTTGGGGGTACGGGGGTACGTTCTACTACGAGGACGGGAACCCTTATTACGTCGCCGACATGGAGGAGAGGTGGGAGAATCAGATGCGGTTTCCTCCGACCATGTCCAGCGCCAAGAGACCGCGGGGGATCTGGGAAGGGTCCCTTCAGGTCGAGGGCCCGTGTCATCAGCTCGATCCAAGTCTGTTATCTGCGCAAAGCTTGCGTAAGTGGCCACGCTTAATTGCAATTGTGTGGTTTTTATTTTGCGAATCCACTTAGTTTTAAGAATATATGGTGACTAGATTTTATATAATTTGAACCCAAAGATTCTAGAACATCACAGCCTGACAGATTGGTGGTCAATTTCTAAACATCAAGCGCCCGTTGGTTCGTAAGTAGAATTTTTGATAGATACTGTTTGTTAGAATTTCTGTTCTTATTTTGAATTGCAGGATTGAAAATCATATGTACTTTTCTTATGGTTTTTTGGCATGCAATTCCAAACAGAAGTTTTGATTCAGTCCAATCTTATGAAAAAAATATTTGTTTTTGACAGCTGTGGCATGCACCTTATCCTTCAGGAAAATTTCTTACGTTTTTTATGTGAATCCACTTAGTTTTGAATCCTGCAAACCAACCGAATTATCAGGCCTCAAATATGTTTGTACCGGCGGCAAAATTTTAAAAAGTTTGACGGTATGCCTTTATTAAAAAAAGTTTGTATGTACATGCCCATTTGTAGCTCAAGCAAGTCATATTCTGTATTTCTACACCATGTCCAATGATTTGCTTGTGAACCAAGGGAAGGGAGTTCCATAAGTCATAAAAAACATACCTAAGCATATGTAAGGAGAAAAATCGAGAGAAGTCTTCCTTGGGTTCTATTCTAATATTCCCAAGTTCTAATCCGTATGACGTTATACATGTATCCACATCACAACTTTTGATATCTAATGATTTGTTTTCATATTGCCTGCAGTGCCTCCATTGCCCAGATGGGAAAACCATTGGGTCGACAAAAGAGAGAACGAACCTTGTCGACGGGCTATCCAAGTTTTTAGTTTGAATTTATTGTCTCCTCATGATGCCGCGTTAGAGGTGTATGGTATGATTGCGTTCCGAGATGTACGTAACAACCAACTACGCAACTATATCTTTGAATACTCCAGAGACAAACCATGTAAGCTTAAGCCGGTGAGTTATGTTGTACCTTTTTCTTATTGTCTCTTTATTGAAGACTATTGAAGAAACCTGCAGGATATATGTCTAACTATACAATATACAGGGTTCTTGTAAGCTTCAACCTCTACTTAACCCGCATCAAGGCATCTATGCAGTTGGGCTTGTGCTAATTGAATATCGTTTGCTAATTAAAGACCAAGAAGGTGAAGATGATAAGGTGTTAATAGACGGATATTCGGTCTATGCTCCATCTTTCTATGCAGAATATGAAAGGCTCTATTGGCACATTAACACTGGCCACCACGGCAGCGTCGATCTAAGAATGGCTTCTATCCCAAAGGCCGTATTGGCTGTGTTGGAGTTTGAGGTGCATCATCTTGGGGACAATTTGTTTGATTCACTTACAATAACTGCGGTTTATCGTACCATGCAAGGGGGTGCTTTTTCAGTCTTCAATGGCAAGTTGAGTGTTTGCAGGCTGCCACCGGTCACAGTTTGTGTGGATTACACCAAGAATTTGACTATAGACTTGTACACGTACAACAGTCACTCAGGTGATGATAATTGCTATCCTAATGGCGTTGTTGGTGATTCGAAAATTCCTGGATATTTTCATTACGACATTGAGGATATTATGTCTGACACCGTGTGGTTTAAACCGCAGAAGAGTGGAAGCTCGACAAAATATTCAAGTAATTTGTACGGTCTTGTAATGTCAGTGAAGGTCACATGGTCTAGCTTGTGTGTACCATGTCAGTAAGATTTATATGTGCAAGGTTTGTACAATATACTTCCATATAAAAGTGTTTTCTTAGTTAGAATTGATTAATTTAGAGTTATTTTCACTCTTTTACCCGCAAGTTTCATCGTTTGTGACATATATTACTAAATTTATACTCCATTTAAGCAAACTCGTCCCACATTTTACCCCATTTAGTATTTTCCTCAGTGTTAGTGCTGATTGGTCGTGCCACCTTTGAGGTTTCTCATTCTTTGGTTTTTGTCGCTTAGTCTTTTTTTCAGCAGCAAACCGTCCGGCGCACTGGTCCACTGCTCCTGCCACTCGCACGACCTCCGCTCCCTTCGTGAAGCCTGTTGGAGAGATTGTCGTTGCCGCCTCTCCACCTGTGGAAGTTCTTGCTCCGACGCGGGTGGACAACGGCAAGTAGGACACGAGGGAGGTGCCAACGGAGTGGGGTGGCGTGGGATGTTGCCGCCGGGCGCCACTATCTCTCTCGGTGTGCTGCTGCAGCTGCCTTGCACGCCGGTGTATCGCACACGAGCTGCTTGATGGAATGCACTCCCTCTAGCTGAGGGACAAATAGCTCTTCTCGCGGGCATACATGGTGCCTCACATTGAGGACCACCCGTACCAGTGCGCCCCCAAGGTGGCATTCCTCCCTGGTGTGCATGTGTGTTGTGTGCGAGCTCGTGGGTGTGTTGTGTATGTGCTCAATTGACCCACGGCAGCCCGAGCACCTTGCCCATCCCCTCCCTCGTCCACGCGTGGTGCCGAAGTCGATGGCTTGTCGTGAGCTTGGTGCAGTTGTTGTGCTCTCGCTGGCAAAGAGCTAAAAAGCATGGACGCGGGGTGGAAAGAGGGGGATACGCATACGTGGAAACGAGATATATAAAATAAAATAAAAATAAGCCATGTAATATAGAGTTAAGACAGAAAATTAATGAGAAAGAGATCAGAATACTGCCCCATCCATTGTCTCTTCTATCAAATGCTTGATGCTTGATTGATCCTTTTCCCGTGTCATTGCAAGTTGCATCTTCGCTCTCACCCCTGTGCAATCGATTGGCTACCAGTTGTGTCGGTCCCAGATGCAATGCTACCTAAAAACAAGCAGCCAAGTAGCAAGAATTCATCATTCAAGATTCAGCAGCACTGCAAGCATTCAAGTATTCAACTACTCAAGGGAGTAGCAGTTGGCGAGCAGCACAAGCATTCAATGAGCAAAACGTCGAAAGCTCTCTTCACATCCTTTCTAGTCAGCTCTTGACATATTGCAAAGTGAGATCTTTTGTTACCTTTTGGATGTGGGATTGCTTTGACAAATGTGGCCCATGGAGGATTGATGCCATCCCTAAGGTTGTAAGCCATCATGTACTCACAACCATTGAACTTATAGTTGCAAGGAAGAGCTTCTCTGGCAACAAGTCTAGCAAGCAGTTGTGATCTCAGCAACACATTCATGTCATTATGAGAGCCAAGCAACCCAAAGGATGAATGTCAAATTCATATATCATCCAATGCAACAGCCTCGAGAATGATTGTTGGATTGTTGCAATGGCCTCTGTACTGAACTTTCCACCCGGAAGTATAATTCTTCGATCTCCACTGCATGCAGTCAATTGATCCTAACATCCCAAACCAACCACTTTCTTCACTCGATGCCAAAAGACTCTCGGTGTCTTCATCGTTGGGTGCCCTCAAGTACTCTACCTCAAAGATATCAATCACGGTCTTGTGTATCTTCGAACAACCTCCAAGATTGTATCTTCCCCGATGGGGACATAGTCATCAATGTCATCGGTCAAACACTCGTAGGCTAGAACTCGAACAGTCGCGATACACTTCATCAAAGGGCTTGCACTTATCTCTTTGCATGCAGTCCTCCTGAGCTTGAACCAATCATCATGCTTCTCCACAAGTTTTGCAATGGTGAGAAAGAGACTTGCGTGCATTCGAAATCGAGGGAGAAAATACTTCCGCGGAAAGGTTGGATTAGGGTCAAAATAATCTATGATAATATTGGCAAGGCCTTGCACTCTATCGCGGTTGAGGTGTATGTTGGAAATATGAGCAATTTACCGAATGATTTTATTAACAGAAATACTAGAAAAAGCATGGCTAGTATAGCAGTGATAAAATAAGCCATGCGATTTGACAAAGAGAAGGTAAACAGCATGTTCATATATGAACCGTAACTAAACATATCTAGAGCAGACAGTATACCAAGTTGCATATATGAAATAGAGTTTAACATATCTAGGGCAAAAACTAGAACAAGGAACTGAAGGAGAACCTCTAATAGAAAGGGGAAAAACACGTACGGGACAGCAGTAGGAGCAGAGGCACTAGACTTGGGGTCGATGTCCTCCATGTTGTCGAGGAGGTTGTCGATGTCGGGGAAGTAGTCGTCGTCGGGGAAGTAGTCGTGGGAGTCCGGGGCGTCCGTGACGAAGAAGTCAGTAGTCGCGCAGAGCGCTCCCCAAAAACCTTATCACCCATCTCCCGTACATGACTCAAAAGGTGCGGTTTCAGAGGCCTACTGTCCCGACCTGCGGTGCACGCCGCAAGCCGGGATGGGGAAGATTGTAGCAGCAACGCAGTGCTCAGGAACTGTGTGGCGAGAGGAAGAGGACCTTCTGATGTGTCTGTCTGGAGAGGAGCGACCTCTCTTATATAGGCACAGGAGAGGGACGCGAACAGGCTGCGACGGGGGTGAAGCAATGGAGGGAGACGAAGCGAACAGGCAGCATGCGAAGAGGTGCGCCGTTCGTATTCAGTCTCCACTATAGCAAAACGTTTCAGCTCTCGTGTGACCGTTCGTATACCCGTCGTGCATGGCAAAAATTTAGACATCGGCTCGGCTCATTCCCGCAACCCGCGGCGCGGCGCGGCGCGTCATGACGAGGCGAGGCGAGGCGTGGCGGGCGGCGGAGCGCGCGTGGATGTCCCTCTTGTTCTCATGCTCATACATGTGGGGAAAGAACCTCCCTTATAAAGAGGTTCAACTCCCTCTAAACTAGAAATATGGGACTGAACTTTAGTTCCACCTCTTACCTTGCACGAATGGGCTGCGTGGGCTTCTAGGATTTATTAGGAATTCTGAAACTGCTATTGGGCTAGGCCCAAATAGACAAAAATTCCAACAACCCCCACCAGATGCCAGAGGCACACAAAATTTGCCTTTGGTTCCAAAACACTGTTTTATATACCGGTACTGCAGTGGAGACTGTTAAGTTGAACTTCCACCTAGAACTCTATGCTACACTACTAAGCAACTTGAACAGTGGACTGGGCCTTGAACTACAAGTTTTCTGCGAATCTAGCTTCACACAAAGCCTTGACCGGTACGTGGCTACCGTGGGTCTTCCCCGCGGGTGGAGCTTATGCGTCATACTCCGAGACCTTTCATGAGTTTACTAGAGAGAACCCTACTCTCATAGATTGCGACGTTTTAACAATTAGACTCATATAGGTGCGTTCTTCAAAAGATGTTCTGCAGGACAACATCTCTGCTTCAAAGAGCCACTTAGAACACATTAAGATATACATCAACCTGCCATGCAGATTAGGAGAGTATTGCATCTTCATGGAGTGGTATTTTTAATAGTAAGGGTACTCTCCTCCCAGTTGACCAACAGCTTGTCTTCCACATCTAATTCACGGGATTTGCGATCACAAAGAATAGGTTACCACTGTGAACAACTCATATTGAGGGTCTCATACCCATCTCCCTCGATGAATTATCTATCACATTACGTGATAGACCCTTAGTGAAAGGATCTGCCAGATTTTTAGACGTTTGGATATAATCCAATGCAATAACTCCGGAGTTTCTCATTTTCCTAACAGACTTTAACCTTCTCTGAACGTGTCTTGATGACTTCATGTTATCCTTTGAGCTGTTCATTTTCGTGATCACAGTTTGATTGTCGCAGTTCATAAGGATACCCGGTACAGGTTTCTCAACAACCGGCAAGTCATTCAAGAGCCGGCGAAGCCAATCTGCTTCGACCGTAGCTGTATCTAGTGCTGTGAGTTATGCTTCCATTGTTGACCTCGTTAAGATGGTCTGCTTGCAAGACTTCCAAGAAACAGCGCCACCTCCATGAGTGAATACATAACCGCTCGTGGTCTTAATTTATCTCATCAGCATCTGAGATCCAGTTTGAGTTACTATACCCTTCAAGCACCTTTGGATGCCCAGTGTAGTGAACTCCATAATTTGCAGTGCCTTTCAAATAACGCAAAACTCTCTCTAGAGCTTTCCAATGCACATCTCCTGGGTTTGAGACAAATCGGCTCAGTTTGCTAACAACAAAAGAGATGTCAGGTCTTGTAGCAATGGCTAAGTACATAAGCGAGCCAATAATATGAGAATATTTCAATTGGTCTCTAGCAATTCTTTGATTCTTTCGAAGCAATGCTACGTCTTGAGCTTGCGTTGGTTTTCCTTGAAGAGGAAAGGGTGATGCAGCAATATTAGCGTAAGTATTTCCCTCAGTTTTTGAGAACCAAGGTATCAATCCAGTAGGAGGCTCCTCAAAAGTCCCACACACCTACACAAACAAACAAAGAACTCGCAATCAATGCAATAAAGGGGTTGTCAATCCCTTCACGGCCACTTGCGAAAGTGAGATCTGATAGAGATAGTATGATAAGATAACTATATTTTTGGTATTTTATAATATAGATGCAAAAAGTAAAGATGCAAATAAAATTAGATTGGAAGCAAATATGATAAGAGATAGACCTGGGGGCCATAGGTTTCACTAGAGGCTTCTTTCGAGATAGCATAAGTATAACGGTGGGTGAACAAATTACTGTCGAGCAATTGATAGAAAAGCGAATAATTATGAGATTATCTAGGCATGATCATGTATATAGGCATCACTTCCGCAACAAGTAGACCGACTCCTGCCTGCATCTACTACTATTACTCCACACATCGACCGACTCCTGCCTGCATCTAGAGTATTAAGTTCACAAAGAACAGATTAACACATTAAGCAAGATGACAT